CATGAGAAGGTGGGCAGCTTCCGCTGCAGCGATGGGGTCACAGAGGTTGACTTCCCGAACGTCGATCCCCGGAAAGTTTGGAGGCGGGGAGGGGGTGTTGCCATTCCACTGTACGTGTGATGTGACGGCGGAAACGCCCTCCCTGCGGAGGGAGTTCGCCCAGTAGACCCCAATGGTGGCCAGGCTATCAGCGGCTTTGTTCAACCGCCGTCTAACAGCCTGCCAAGTGAGGACTCAGCCAGCGCCCTCTACCTGCCCGTGTGATGTGACGGCGGAAACGCCCTCCCTGCGGAGGGAGTTCGCCCAGTAGACCCCAATGGTGGCCAGGCTATCAGCGGCTTTGTTCAACCGCCGTCTAACAGCCTGCCAAGTGAGGACTCAGCCAGCGCCCTCTACCTGCCCTAAAACGTCCTCCATCTGTTGAGCCAGGTGTAGCCTACGGTACCTGGCGGTGCCGGCCCCATACCTAACAACCCTACCCGCACGGCCCGTGTACGGGCCGTGCGGGTAGGGCTGTCAATGTGGGGAAGCAAAGCTAGTCCTGCTCGGCAGCCTGCTACCTCGGCCATCTGGGCGTTGTCACAATCCGGGAGAGCAACAATGGCTATGGCGAGCACCTGGGGTGCCCCAGTGCTGGGGATGTGGTGCCAGAGGATGGCTCCGGCGCCCGACACCTTTCCCGCGCCCCCGAGTGTTCTCGCCCCTCCGTCGAAAGTGACCTCGTAGGGCCATTGGGTGGAGTCGGAGTCGGGAAAAAGGGAGTCACGAACCGTGATCTCGCCACCGGGCTCGAGACTTGAGTTGGCCGTAAGAGTGGTGGTGTGGAGCCTGCACTCCCGACAGTAGTTGGACGTCCAGTAGGCAGTGGGGGAGTTGTCGGTCCTTGGGAAAGGAAACCAGCTTCTGCCGGGAGGCATCCAAGCAGCCCGCGTGTGTGGGGACTGCAATACCACGATTCTGTCCTCTGGCTCATGGTGTCTTGTGACCACCGGGAGTCTGCGAATCTCGCCTCCTGCCCTGTCTGCGTGTCGCTGTGAGTGGGGCCTCGCAACGCCACAAACCGACCCGGGTGGGACGGGACAGGGGTTGCACGTGCGACATGCGTCCCTCAGGACAGTCCACACTGCAGTCTCGCTGGGTCCGTTGGCCCTTGGGGGCTCATCGCCTCTGAGCTCCTCATCCTCGCTCTTTTCATGATAGTCATCGTCGGGGGTAGCCAACCCTCGCATGATGAGTCTGGCTGCGTCGCCTGCCTCAAGAGGGGAGGCTGTGAGGTTGACGCAGTACCTGAAGGAGATCTGGTGTAGAATCTTGGACAGTAAAGGCTGGTGCTCGCCCTCGCTGGTGATGGCTTGGGCGAGTGTTGCTGGGTCGTCTGGGCCCCGTATGGTGTGCCAGACTAGGGCGGCTGCTGGGCACCAGTGCCCGACATGTTCAGTGGTCGCCTCGCCCATCCCGCAGAGCGGGCAGCGTCCATAGAGTCCGACTCTGACAGGTGGCCCGAGCTGTCCACCCGAATTTGTGTATGAGACCGCCTGCCCCCTGAGAGGGAGTGGTAGGACCTCGGGGGTAAGGTTTGCCAGAGGGCGAAGGTGTGCGGGCCCGCCCCGACGCAACTTGTACACCAGGCCGCTCCCTCGTCGTTCGGCCCTGCCGTGATCCATACTCTGTTGGCCGGTGCCCCGCAGGTGCACCTGTGGGGGATTCTTTCGCCGTCACCCCGGCGTCTTGCCGAACCAGGGAAGCAATTGCAGAGGATCCTCATCACGTGGTGCGCCGCCGTGAAGGTGGGGCAGTGGCGAAGCAATTGCCACTCTTCCCCTCTGGAGGGCTGCCATCTTCTTCTTTGGCTGGATTTCTGGAGCCATACAGTGAGGTGTCGGCTGTTCATCTGGGCCCAGGCCGCAGTGTAGGTGATCCTGCCGAAGCGTTTGCCCTCCAAGAGGTGGGGTTGCTGCACAGCGAGGAGCAGGGCCCGTGCGGCCTGTCGTTCGGTGATCATCTTAGGACGCCGGGGAACTGCCTCGGGCGTCTGTGCTGCGCGGGCTCCCCATTTCAGCAGCTTGTTCCATCTGATGCTCGCTCGTTTCCGAACGGTGCTGGGGCCCCAGAAATCGTTGAGGACGAATGCTCTAGCGGCGACCGCGCGAGCCGTCGCAACTGGGCACCTGGGGGCGCCCGGTACTTGGAAGCGGATGCCAAGCCCGGTCAGTACGAAGTCGGGACCCAGGATGCCCCCGCCAGCCCAAGAGCAGTCCTCAGCTGGGCTAGTAGCTCGCGCTCCTGTACCAGGTCGGGGGGGGGGCATAGTGCGCTGCATAGGGGGCCAGGGAGATCAGGTAGGCGTTCCATGCGGCAGCCGTCCGGGATGGCGACATCTTGGCAAGGTGCAACGCGAGAGCTCTCCCTAATTTTGGGAAAGGGGCGGTTCCACGTGCCTTTGCAGAGGGCCTCCTCCCACAGGGGCGTCGGTTTTGGATGGGCTGGTGGGGATATTTTTCCGTCGCGGCCGCAAGCGGAAGCGCAGGCGGTGTCCGAAATCAGCCGGGCTACGAGCCAAACCTAATCACCTAAGCGCGGGAACTAACGGCCGCCGAACCTGCCGCCGAGGGACGCCGAGGAGCGACGCCGGGGACTGAAGGCAGAGCTGCAAGAGGTGCCAGAAAAGCTGGTTGGGATACGCGAAGCGTCAATAATTTCAAAAGTGGAGGGCGGGCGGTTTTCAAAAGGTGGCTCTCGCCTCAACGCCACGCGCATTCGTTTTGACAGTTTGCAAGAGTTTCGCGGGTTGAGGGCGGGTCGTTTTCAAAATATGGCCCTCGCCTTGGCAACGCGTGCGCTCGTCTTAAAATAGTTGCAACAATTTCATGGATTGAGGGCTGCTCCTTTTCAACATGTGGCTCTCGCCCTAGCCCCGCGCAAATGTATAATAATCGCAAGAATTTCACGGGTTCTCATGGCTAACGTACTAGAAACGGTGTTTTGGAGCGATTCACGACTCAGGGCGCAGCAGTTCCGTTGATCCGTGGTGTTGATGTCCCGGGATTGGCGTTGTAGCACGGCTCGATCGCCAAGACACAACAGTCAGGCTGATGAGTGGCGTTGAAGTTCCGAGAATCGTGTCTCGGCACGCTTCAGGATCTTCAAACGGTTGTCTCCCAACGGGACACTTTCCTCAATGGGCATGAACCCTTGCATGGGGCCTACGAAGAGGGAGCTTGGGGCCTTTCGGGGATCTTCTGACCAGGGTCAATGCCAACCCGGGCCAGTCGGGCCTTGCGGGATCCTGCAAGATCCTGCAGGATCCTGCAGGATCCTGTGCCCAAGCCTGGGTCAGTGCACCCCTGACCCTGCAGGGTCCTGCAATCTCCGGCGCTCTGGCGGACCCCCGTTTGCATTGACCTCCGTCTCAAGGCTCCCGGTCCTTTTCTCTTAACAGCGCCGGCCCCTCGGCTCAGCAGCCAAGCTCTGAAATCAGCGGACCGCAGTGCCGACGGGCTTCCTCGGGGGGCACCCGCAGGCTCTGGTCTGCAGGTGCTGCCCTCCCAGGGCCGCCGAGGCATCCGAAGGCAGCTGTCCCACAGATCGCCAGCTGGCAACGTCGGGGTACTTCGCAAGGCTTCGAGATTGAATCGAACTTGAGCCGAGCTTGAGTCTAACTCGAAAACTGAGCTAGATTCGAGCTCGAGTCGAACAGGTCCGTCACAGTCGTCGCGCCGCCGCGGGGAGCGCCGAGTGAGGCACAGAAGGGGCTTTTCTGGACACGGCGAGCCTGCTGCTGCCCGAGTCTCTCCCGGATCTGGGGGGCGATCGTCCTGGATCCACCGCCCGTGAGCCCGTCCCCCCTTGCACCGCACCCGTGCTTGCGGCCCTCTGGACGGCAGGCGTGGTCTGATGCGGCGAGAGGTCCACGCGATGGGCCTCGAGGAAGCCTGCTGCCGTGCGTAAGCTGAGCGAGTAGCGCGCGTGTCTTGGCACCTGCGCGAGGGAGCGGCGGACAGGAGGAGCAGGAAGGAAGGCAGCGCAGGGAGGCGCAGCAGGTACAGGACGAGCAAGCCGAGGAGGGGGTCTCCTCAGGGCCATCCTGTGGCCTTCTGTGGACCATCATCACTGGGGAGAGGGGCAGGGGAGGGGGTACCTGGGCGGCCCGGGGAGAGGAGCCGTGAGGGCAGCGATCTAGCAGAAAAAGGGGGAGTCGGGGCGGGGCGGCGGGGCCGAGGACGAACGACGACGGCGAACGAACGAAACGAACATTTCGGGCTCCGAGCTTTAGAGCATGCCTGGACAGGAGAAGAAACTCAAATCCGTCAGGCCCCTTGGGGGCCAACAGGCTGCGTGGGCTCGACCTTCCTGCACCCTGCAACAAACCCAGCTCCCAATGTGTAAATTATAGGCATTCTCTTTTCTAGTTCCAAGATGGAGCGATTGAAATCCGAGCGAGGACCCTGGCCGAAACCCGCCGATTATCACTTCAGAATCAAGTGTTCTGAATTTCTGGGAGTGCCCCAGCACACGTACAAATATTGACATATCAGCCCCCGAAGCCACAAGCCTTTGTCAAATACGCCATGTTTGCGCTCCCGATGCCACAGCCCCTCGTGCATAGCGGCGAATGCACGTACCCCAGGCCGCAATCCCTAGTAAGTTGTAACAGATTCGTGTCCCCTGTGCCACAGCCACTTCGTAAATTACGACAAGGTTGCGCCCGCGAAACCACAAACCCTTGCGAATCATAGCGAATTTGCGCACCCGAAGCTATAACTAATTGTAACTTACAACGAACTCGCACTCCCGAGATCAACGCGCCCCGTACTTTATAGCAAGTTTGCGCCCCCGAAACCACAATCTGTTGAATATCGCACCATCTTCGCACTCTCGAATCGACAAGCCCTGATAAAACGCATCATTATCGCGCTCCCGGAGCCACAATCCCTTGCAGCGTGCGACAAATTTGCCCCCGAAGCCATACAAATCCGCGCTCCCGAAACCACACACTCTTGCACATTACAACGCAATCGCTGTAAGCTGCGACCCGTGGACAACTGCGACGAATTCGCGCTCCCGACACTCCCCGGGTAAATTCTAGCAAAATTCGCGCTCCCGAGGTCACACTCCTTTTGAATCACGGCGCATTGGCGTTCCGAAGGCACTACCGCACGTAAAATACCATTCAATGGCGCTCTCGAGGCCACCACCCCTTGTACATTGAAACGGATTCGTAAGCCCGCGCCCATGAGGCTACAATCCCTGATCACTTGCGGAGGATTCGCACCCCCGAGGCCACAATCCTGCGTGCATTTTGCGCTCCCCAGGCTGTGAATCCACGCTCCCCTCTCCAGAGCAGGACGACTGTCTCTCAGTATTGGGGAATATGTTCGGGAGTCGCTTTTCGGCCCCTGCGCCATTTCCTGGCACTTCGGCTCTGGACCCCAAGCCACGAATTCACCAAAACAGCTAAGGGTGCGGTCTCCCCACGCCGCGAACCCTCGCACTTTGCCTTGGAAGCGCGCTCCCGATGTCACCACCCCTTCTTAATTACCACAGATGCGCGCAACCAGCCAGCCAAGCATCCAAGCAACACCAACCGACAACTTCTTATAGACAACGAACCATCAACCAACCGAATTGCCAGCCAGCCAGCCTGTCAGCAAGCCAACAATCGAACCAACCGAACAAACGCAGCCATGCAATCGGTCAGGGTGGGGGCTGGCAGCAGAGGGCGAAACTCTTCAGATTTCTGAAACTTTCTACCCGACGAGTCCACTTGGACCCAGCAGCCTAAGGCTCTCGAGCTCCATACGATGACTCCCCAACGTGCCCCGTCCGTGCGGCGAACCGAGGCGCAGACTGGTACCCTTCAGAGGGGCAGGCCCTGCACTTCCCTGTGCGGCAACTTGTGTTTTGTGATCGCGAGCATACCGTACAGAGATCCCGACAGCTTTGCCGACTGAACTCTTCGTTGTGACGAAAGAGGCCCCCCCCTCAGGCCTGCACAAGAGCGGGTCGTTCTCAGCGTCGACCGCGCCCCCGGTGCTGCCCTGGCCTCCCCCGTCCGCTCGGGCGTCGATGTCGCGGCGGTTGGCGAGCAAGGACTGGTTCAATTCCTTCAGGAAGGCCAGCCGTTCCTGGCCGCAGCCCGCACTGGGATCTTTCAATCGCGCGAATTATCTGCACGGCCTGGGCCATCCCAGAAAGACTGACCTGAGCAGCCTGGAAAAGTTGAGCGGCATTCGATCAATAAGCGCCGGGCCAACCCTTGCAATCTTGTGCATGCAGCTCCATGCTTGCGCGGGGGCTTAGAAATTGGCGCAATTTTCGGAAGGCTGCAATAACAGGCGACCGAGCCAGTGAACGGGAATTTCTGACCGATCCCTGCCTCTCCATAGTGCCACAACTGAGATCCAAGACTGTGCGCCCAGGCTCTAGTGGAGGCCAAGAGGGGAGGATCAGGGACGACTGTCAAGCTAGCACGCGGCTGTTAAAGAGACCACCGTGCACCTTCAAGTTTGGGACGCCAACTAATATGTTTCTGCAGCTGTGCCTTAGATTCCATCGAACATTATGCGACCTGCCAACCCGTGTGGCAACTCACGCGCTCCTCGATGGGGACTCTACCGTCAAGCGTCTGGAAAAGAGCGCGCGAGCTGTCGGACGTCCCCAATCGCATCGAAGCCGAACCCGAAGCTCTGGGGCGCACGATTGTGCGCGCGGCAGCCAGACACGGGGGCATTTCCTGGTGCTCAGGAGTGGCAGCTCACGACATCCCACCACTCCTTTGGGCGCAGATGGTCGAGTCTTTCCCCCAACCTCTCCCGGAGGTCAGGACCCAGAAGGGGTCGCGTGTGGGTGGGGAATCCAGGATGGCCTGAAGTGGCTCCAATATGGTTTGATATTGTTCAAGGTGACCTCCAAGATGACGCAAAAATGACCGAAGTCGGTGAATACTACCTCCAACACAGCTCTCAGAGGTCGCACGAATGCTCCAAGATGGCTCTGAAGTGGCCCCTGGACCTCCCAAGGACGTCAAAATTATACGCTTTGGCGGTCCCGCCCTCTTCAGCTTCCAAGCGCCTGAGGCTTGAACTTTGCTATAAGATCGACCCAAAGTGCCACAACAAGAGGACCGTCCAGAACCCCAAAGAGCATTCCACGAACAGGTCAAAATGGGCCATCGATGCACGTTTCCAAGCCGTAGAGGAGGGCCCCACAGGAGCTCCGATCGTAAGGGGGCACCAATAAGAGCGCCCCAGGATAACTTCGGCGGTGGACAAACCTCTCTCTGGTAAACCACCCTTTTAGTGAAAACGGCCGAAGACCGAAACCGACGGACCTGTACCCGCAAAAATGACGGCCGCAACGCCCTCTCGCGAGCCGAAAACGGCCAATTCGCTAATCGACGTGTCAGGGAGGGAAGTATATCAACCTCCAGTGATTCTCAGCCACGCCGGATTTTTTTGGCATGTTTTGGTGGCTGCTCGGGCTGGTACCTCCCTGAGCCCGACCTGCGCCCTCCCATGTCCCACGAATGTTTCACGGTGGACGGTTTCCCCCGGGGCCGTAGGCGACCCGAGGAGGGGAAGGCGAGAAGCGGGAGGAGGAGGAGGAGGAGGAGGAGGAGGAGGAGGAGGAGGAGGAGTAGGAGGAGGAGGAGGAGGAGTAGGAGGAGGAGGAGGAGAAGGAGGAGGAGGAGGACGGGTCGCCTAAGCCCTTCGGAGAAACTCTCCAGGCCTGACCTGCGACCTCCCATGTCTTACTAATGTTTCACGGCCTCCTTTCTCACGACTGCTCGCGTGGGAATCGCTTCTGGATGGGCCCGGCCCGGTGGGGATGCGCGGGGCGCCAGGGATCTCCCCCAAGTGCGCCGTGGGAGCTCGTCAGAGGAGCCCTGCCTCTCGGCAGGCTCCCGGCCGGTGGCGCTGGGAGGCAGCGCTCAGCGCGATCTACAGTTCCGTCTCCGCCCGCTGCGAGGGGGAGGGTCGGTCCAGAGAGCCAAGGCGTCAATTCCCACCCCCTGGGGGACAGAACCCGCCGTCTCTGCAGGCGGCTGGCTGCCGTGTCCGCAGGTCATCGGGCCAGCGCGCGTGCCCCAGAGACGCGCGCGTGCCGCTCTCTGCCAGCCCGAAGCGATCGGCGCGCCCTGCAGCGTGCACCCCTCGCCTGCCCTCGGCCCCCCGCGCGCAACCCCTGCTCCCAGCACGCATCTCTGCTCGAGCAACCGCGCGGAGAGCATATGGTGCCAAGGGCAGGGCGCGCGGGGAGATACGCTGCCGACAGTGGATGTGCTGCGGGCCACGGGTGCCCTTTTCGCGAGATTCCCCAATCCACGAGGCCACGATAAGTCAGCAGGATGGGGAACCCCACATCTACTCCGAGCCGCCCGCCTCTCTCTCTCTCTCTTTCTCTCTGTATTTCTCTTTCTCGCTTCCTCTCGCTCGCTCTCTCTCTCTCTCTCCTCAGGGGGCGTGTGCGGCGCACAAGGCAGAGGCGTGCGGCACGTGTAGACCATCCAAGCGACTCCACGACTCTCGGGATGATCTGCAACCTCCCACCTTCATGCGACGCCCCCCCGCCGCTCGTGCGACCGTCCCCGGCTCCCCAAACCGCGTCCCTCTCCCGGCGGGTGGCGCACCAGCACCACCTCCGCCAGAAACGCTCGGCGTGAGAAGGCCTCCGGCCACGACCTCTCCAAGCCGCCCGCTGTGTGCAAACACCACTGGTGGGATCTCAGCCCTACAGTGAGGCCAGTCCACAAGAAACCTTCCAGAAGAAGCCCAACCCTGAGACCCCAGGACGTCCATTGATTTTTGGTGTAGGAGCGTCGCGCTTTCCACAGCAAAACCATCGAAACCCAGGAAACCAAGGACACCCTGGAGGCAAGCAGGGTGTTTCTTGGCATGGGTCTCCACTGTATGGGTCAGCAGGTACCAGGAGGCACCAGAGACGGAGGACGAATGCCCCGATGGGCTCCGCCTCGGACAACCTGGTCAGCGGCCCGCCGATGCCGCCGCCCCCCCTCGCGCTCCTCCACCTCCGCGCGGGACTTCTGCGAAGCGGCGAGCTGCTTCTCGAGGCCCCTGCGACGGCGTCCTCCCGTCCGTCCTGGCTGCTGCCTCAGACCCTCCCCCTGGCCTGCTCTTGCTTGCTGCCTGGAGTGTTCGCTCGAACCCCTGTGGCAGTGGTGGTGGTGTCTTCCTGTCTGCCTGGCCGTCCGTCCGTCCGTCCGTCCAGGAGGTAGCTGGGCCCAACATCGAACAGAGGAGCTCCGAAGTTGAGCTGGCTGGCTCGAAGCTCAAGCGGACTTGATCTTCGGAGTCTGAGCCCAGCAGGCCTATGGACGTTCCTTTCCCTCTGATGTGGGCGCGGGGAAGCAGTTATGGTGCAGGAGTAGAATGAGGTTGTCGACAAGTAGCAACACCGTGAGCAGGAGGGTGGTGGAGGGAGGCGGGAAGCGTTGGAGGTACGGGTGGGGAGGAACAGGGATGCGGGCGAGGCAGGTCTACAACGTTCGAGGATTGACAGAACCTTCTTTAACAAAACGCCTTTTAGTGAAAGCACTCCACGGTTGCGCGGTGTCGCATTCCTAGCGCACCTGGGCGCAATATCAAACGGACGCTCCAACGCAGCCGAATTTTTGAGGCATCACACTCGTCGATTAGCCCGACTGGAGACTGCACTGGTACACTCGAATGCCGACGTCGAGCGAACCGGTGCAAGTTTCCTCAGTCGACTTGTCTGAGTGGGCGTTCTCGCACTGCCCGACAAGTGTCCCCTCCCCCATCCTCCCTCCTGTAAGCCAAGGTGCCGACGCACCAACGGCCACGTTCAAAGGAAGGTCGAACTACCCACTGCCCCTTCCGCCTCTCTTCCGCCATACGCCCCTCTCTCTCCACACGCGCGCGCGTTCCAAATCGCTCGGGAACGAAATTGTCAACCTCGGAAGTCGTGACTACTCCCAATCTCGTCCGCTGGCTTCTCCTAGCCTTCCGCCCTCCTTTTGCCTCCGCTAGCTTCCGTTGGACTTAGGCCGGGAAGAGAGGCCACCCCCATCGATCCCTCCAAGGCGAGGCCCTTCTGTGAGCATTACGCCAAGAGGAGGGTGGGGGGCGCTCGGGGCAGGCCGTCCCCCAGTGAGCCCCGCGCGACGGCGACGACGTCGACGGCGAAAGGATGACGACGACGGCGACGACCGCGGCGACACAGACGATGGCGTCGACAGCGACGACAGCGGCGACGCTGACGGCGGCGACGGCGGCGGAGGCGACGGCGGCGCCGCGCGGCGGCGGAAGCGACTGCGGCGGCGGCGAGGAGGAGCGCCTCCGGCGCCCTTCCGCCTCTGCCGCCCTGGCCTCCAGGCGCCCGCGGAGGGCCTGCTCCTCCTGCGGGGGGGCTCGCGCGGGGCGCGGTGCCGCGCCCGCGATCGCCGCCGCCGCCGCCGCCGCGGTCGCATTCGCCGCCGCCGCCGCCGCGGTCGCATTCGCCGCCGCCGCCGCCGTCGCATTCGCCGCCGCCGCCGTCGCGGCAGTCGTCGTCGTCGTCGTCGTCGTCGTCGTCGTCGTCGTCGTCGTCGTCGTCGTCGTCGTCGTCGTCATCGTCGTCGTCGTCGTCGTCGTCGTCGTCGTCGTCGTCGTTGACGTCGACGTCGACGTTCAAGGATCGCTCCGTGTCGCGCCTGAGGGGCGAGGAAAGGTGTCAGACCAGGGCGCGGAGCGGGAGGGGAGATGGGGGTGAATAGGGAAAGGCCTGCGTGGTGGGCGGGGGATGACGGGGATCGATCTGGGGGACTGGCCCAAGGGGGAGCCCATCGAGGCTGAATCGTCGACATCTCGCCGAGATCGGCGATATGCTCTCGACAGCGAGTCCGTGCGCTCCTGCGCGGGGTGGGCCATGGGGCCCCCCTCGGCGATGAGTGGGTGATTTTGGGGTCCAGGCATTCCCCCCGAGCCTTTTCCCCCTGACGTGGCCCCCGACAGAAGGGCTGAACCTGTCAGGCAGAACGTTGGCTCGGGGCGGTGGACGTCTCCGGGAAGAGCCCCACGATCACCACGATGCGGCAGGTATCGCGCCCCGAGCCCCCCAAAGGGGAGATGGTCGACCAGAGTGTCCCGCGGACCCGCTCGCGCCCGGTCTGGTGGGACCTCTCGGGTAACACACCCGTCCAGGGCGAAGTGCGTCTGTCTTCGGAGCCCCAGGACCACTGTGATGTTGTGGGGAGTGGGCACTATCCCCAGGAGTTCGAAACAGCGTGGGGGGCGCACTGAAGGCACCCTCGGGGCTTCAACCAGCCTGGGAAGGGTGCTGGCAAGAGACTTCGGGCGCTCCACAATGTATATGTAACGTTTCTTATCAACTAAGAAAACATACACCGCAAATGAGTACACGAAGAAGAACAGCACGTGCAGGACGATGGTAATGAAGCCGAAATGCACCAACTCAGTCGCCGAAGAGAGATCGACGAACGCGATGCACGCCGCCGCAAGATCGGCCGTTCACGCGGGTCCGCCAAGGCTGGGGCGCCTCGCCGGACGAGGCTCGCGCGGAGGTGCGCTTCTAGAACATGCCTCTGCGAAGAAGCGCCTAGCACCGAGCCGACTCGTCGGGCCTCGCCCCCCCCTTGACTGCTTGCCGACTATATACGTCGCTGGAGGGACAGTCCAGTTGCGAGGCCTATACAGTGTCTGATCGTAGTGGCCGACGCGGTTGCGATCACAGCGTTGACAGCACGTCCAGCGTCTCCTTGAATGGTCCCACGATCACGCCGACTGGGTCATGCTATGCACGGAGCCCAGCATATCTACCAATGATTTTTGACCATGTGGTCAGAGGATGCCGAGTATGACCAGCTCTCGCAGTGGTGATCGATGGCGTATGTGGAATTGTTTCGAAAAATGGTGACCACCAGTAACGGTCTCCGACATCTCCACTCCATGTCCCACTCGGCAGCTTCATGAAAAACTCGCCCTGGTGGTACCCCTCTTTCCGAAATGAGAAGTGAAAGCGAGGAAATGGTGGGGCGGGAATCTACTCTGCCTCGCATCGGATGTGTCTGGGTCAGACTCTGTGCTCCAATGGCCCATAGCAGATGGATCCAGCAGGGCCCAGTGTATTGCTCCAGAGCCCAAGACCGAACGTCCAAGGTTTGCCCTCTGCTCGTCATTGCACCCAGGACTCGCGTGACCTGGGCGCTCCCGAGCGTGAGCACGCTGGAGTGAAGGCGTGCCCACCCCCGCCTCTCGGGAGCTCCGAAGCCCCTTCGGGAGGATCGCCGGGTCGAAACCTTGAGCAAAGCAGACTCCAGACCAAGCCGCTGTGGGAAGAAAGGCAGCTGGAACGGCAACGCGGACCTGCAACTGCGGAAGCTCCGTGACGTGTGCCAGGGCCCCACCAGCTGCAGTGGAGGCCAGTCCACCAGCAACCTTCCACAAGAAACCCAAGCCTGAGACCCAAGACGTCCATTGATTTTTGGTGTGTGGACGTCACGCTTTCCACAGCAAAACCATGGAAACCCAAGAAACCCAGGGCATCCTGAAGGCAAGCAAGGTGTTCCTTGGCATGGGCCTCCACTGTACGGAAACTCCGTGCCGTGTGCCCTGGCACCACCAGCTACAGAGCCGGCCCGAAAACAGAGGAGCGTGAGGCCTGGCCGAGCTTCGGCGCGGTCGTCAGCCGCCAGGGACCGTCCCGAAGACTCGCTGGGCGTTCGTCCCACTGTGGGCAACAAGTTGCTTCTTATCCATGCCACGTCGCTCGCCTCAAGTCCCCACCCGTGGGGAGAGGGAGGGAGGGAAGGACTGGGGGAGGAGCGAGGACCTTCTTTTCCGATGTCGCATTTTTTTTTTCGTGACGGGGGCTCTGGGGAACTTGACCTCCTCCCCATGGCCAACTCTTCATTCCGAACCGCTTTTTGACGGCCCAGGGGCCGTGAGACGGCCCCCCGAGGTCGAACATGCCGAACAACCAGTAAAGGTAAAGACGATTTTCTCGCGGCGCTTTGATACGAGGGCAGGCAGGTCGAAGAATTTGTTTCAGCTGCTTTTTTCATTGGGGTGCTTTTGCTTCTCCGATGCAACGCCCACCAGCGCCAGTGTCTCACGGTCACAGCATGCCTGTCGGGAAAAGGCCAGCAGAGCCCGGGGGGTGAAACGAGAAGGGTCACATTCGTATCGACTCTCTCGTATGGAGCCGCCGCCAGAGAGCAAAGCAACGAGTCGCGAGCAAGTAATCAGGAGCACCTCGCCGTCGCACCGGGAGGGATCCCTGCCGCCAACCGACGGCGACAGGCCCCGGCTCCTGGATCTTGGCGTGCTCGCGCTGCAGCGCCTCGGGCGGGGAGGGGCAGAGCGGAAGGGGGCAGGACGGGGGGGGGGCGACGAGGCCTGTGACGGGGGACCAGCTCGGGGGGGGGGGGGAGACGTGCTGGAACATCGGCGACACGCCGATGGATCGGCGACACGGCGCCCGAGAGCGGCTCCGCACGTTCCTGAGGAGGAGGGAGGAGGAGGAGGAGGGATGAGGAGGAGGAGGAGGGGAGGTGAGGAGGAGGAGAGGAGAGAGGAGGGGGAGGGAGGAGGAGGAGGAGGAGGGGGGGGAGGGGGGGGGAGGGGGGAGGGGGAGGAGGAGGGAGGAGGAGGAGGGGGTGGGCCATCGGGCCCCCGTGGGCGAGGACCGGGCGATCGGGGGTCGATGCGTCGCGCCCCGGGCCTGCCCGCGTCCTGCAAGTGACCTCCAGCCTGGCACCAAGAGGCCGCAAGACTGCTCCACGCCGACTCGGAGGCCATGCCAAGGAGGTCCCCGAGGAGGCCACGGCCGTCGAGGGAGCACCACCCCTCTGGTCGTAGGTGTTTTCGCGGGCCAGCTCTTCTCAGACAGCCCCGGCTGCATCTGTCGGGCGAGGCTTGACCGTTTCTCTACGTGCTGACCGCGGTTGCCCCCTTCACAATTTGGGTGGCCTCTGGGGGCCACTTCGCCTTGCCTTGCCTTGCCGAGGCCGAAACGGGGGCGTAACACCCTTCGTCGGCCCTAGGGCGCACCATGGTCTACACCAACGACGCACCGTCCTTGAGCCGGCACGCTCAGGATTGGTATTCCTTGCTTCGCCATGGTCTCGTCCAAGCCTCGACCAAGACGGGATCTGGCGACCCCTAATGGCGTATTATGTGGCTTCATTTTGATGTGTGACCTCTGTTGAAACATTACAGCGACCGCTATTCGAGAACAAATGGCACGCGCACTCAAGAGGCTGCCTGGGCACAACTCGTGGACTCCATGGATAGGCCAGGCTTCCCCAATACGCGCAAAGGTGATCGGCGAAACCAGGGTTCACGACCGTCAGTTTCGCTCCCCAGCTGCAGTTTCAAGATGCCCACCTCCCCTGGCGAGGCGCAAACAGGAGCAGGGCGGGGAGGGGAGGGCCTTCCAAGAAGGAAACGGGCTTCTTACCAGGAAACTGGAACACACACTTTTTCCGTCAACGGCGAGGCGGCGAACTCCGCTCCAGCGAGAAGCTAGGAAGGGACTCTAATCCCACCAGCCCTCTGGGCGTAGGTGGTTCAGGGCGGCTCCTCTTCCAACCCCCTTTCTTCCCCTTCGGGGAGGGGTTTACCCCTTCCCCTACCCCCTTCTCTGGACTTGGACGGGGGGGCGCGAGGTGTCGGAGCGTCCAAAACGGCCTCGGCGAGGAAGCCCAAACCTGACCTGACAAGAACGGGAAGCGACCGTTCGAACGCTCGTTGCAGGTGTGGCATCACATGGGGACGTCAAAACTGGAACGCTTGTGTGAACGAGGTGACGGTATCCATTGTCGAGTTACGCAGTCAGAGGAGCAATCACGATCATAATGTAGTCGGCGTGGAGGCCAGCAAGAGCGCTGTTGGAATGACGACGACGACGAGGAGGAGAAAAGGGTCGACGGCTATGATGGAGGGAAGATCGACAAGAACGGAGAGCAGGTGCATAAAGCCGAGGAGAAGGATGAGCGCTGGCAGCAAAATTGGAGATGAGGGCGATGCACGTTGCGCGAGCGTGATCCCATGAGCTCGACACTGCACGGCGGGTGCTCAGCGGCGCGGACAACACTGCACTGCACATTGCGCGAGGGTGGTCCATGAGCTCGACACTTCCAACGTGCCACTCAACTCTGTGAACTGGTACTCGTGGGCGGGTCGCTTCACGCAACGGTCCCGGAAACCTGGGAAGGGTCTGGGCCCCGGGACACGTGGCAAGGGGGCTGTGATCTGATGAGGAGTCGAGGTCCTCGACAGTGCCCCATTATGTTCCAAGACGCTCCAAGACGGCCCATTATATTTTGAATACGACCGGAGATAACCCCAAGACAGTCCAGCAGGCCTGTAACATTAAGCCCTCTTGGATCCCTCGGGCGCCGTTTTCGGGCCTCTTGAGCTGTCTTGGGGCTGTGTAGCCCGAATTCGGGATAAGGAGATGGAGTATCTAGTGACCGTCAGTCCATCCCGCCACCGTGCCGGGGTATTGAAAATGAGACGAAGTGAAAGTTCGTTGTGCTCTCTGAGGAGGCTTCTCGCGGGCCGTTTTAGGTCCTCTTGGGGCCTCTTTTGGGCCTCTTGGAGGCCTTTTGGGGCGTCTTGGGGGTCTCTCGGGGGCCTCTCGGGACCTCTTGGGCGCCTCCTGGGGCCTCCTAGGGCCGTCTTTGGGCGGGATGCTCCGATGTTCGATTCGGGCTCTCCCTCTTGGGCCCCTCTTGGGAGCCTCGTGGGCCTTCTTGGGAGCCTCTTGGGCCGTCTTGGCGCCCTCTTCGGCCGTCGTGGGCGCCTCGTGAGGATCTCTTGGGCCGTCGCGGGGCGGTCTTGGGGGACTCTTGGACCGTCTTCGACGCCGCGAAGACGAGAAAATCGTGTATGATAAACATAGAAGTTTTCCCATAGGAATTAGACGATTTTGGCCTCGGCGAGGAAACCCAAATCCGCCGACCCCTTCTGGCTCTCTAGGCGTGTGAGATTATCCCCCCCCATAATCTCCCCCGCGGGACTCCAAACCGGCAATTCGACCCCCCCCCCTCGCCCAGCGCGACCCCGGACCGAACGCGCCACGGGGGAGCGGAGGGCTCCAAAACTCGCCAAGAAGGCACCAAAACGCCCCCCAGACGGTCCCAGGGGGCTACGATTCGCCGAAATATCGCTCTGGACGCCCACGATGGCCCCCAGGCAGCCTCCGAAGCTGCCAAGACGCCCCAAGAGGCCCCCAAGATGCGCCCCCAGAGGGTCTCAAGAAACAGAAATCGCACCTATACCCTTCGAAAAACAAGCATTTTTCGCATGCTCGCCTATTCGGTTTTCACAACGTCCCAAACGGGCAAAGAAACCTTCAACATCGCCCCCAGGCGGCCAAACGGTCCCCAAGAAGAGTCGAAGAGGGTCCAACAACAGCCCCCGAAGCCCCCCAAGACAGCCCCTAGACGGCTCCAAGACGGAGCCCAGAGGGTACCTTTTCGAGCCTTCGACCCCCAAACGCCCCCAGTCTGCCCCAAGAACAGCCCAAGAGACCCTGAGGGACCCCCAAGAGAACCTCAAAGGCTCCCAAGAAGCCCCCAGGAAGCCCCCAAGAGGCCCAAAAACTTTGCCCAAGATGCCTCAAGGCGGCTGGATATGGCCTGCAGACAGGCCAAGATGCCACCAAAAGGCTACAAAAGAGCACCAAAAGGTACGATCACAACAACGAAGCAACAGAAACGATGTCGAGCGCCGTGCCATGATTCGGACAAGCCTCGTGAAATGCAGTCCTGGAAGCGCAGTAGTTTATGTAGGGGTCGGCGGATTTGGCGTAAGCCTATAGAACCATTGGTTTTACTAAGGTGTTGGCCACATGTGGGCCTCTTGGGGGGGGCGAGGCTAATTAAGGGACCCCCCTTCTTTGATCGATCTCCTCCGAGACGAGCGTTCCCAAGGCTCCCAAGGGTGCCCAAAGAGGGCCCCAAGAGGTGGCCAGGAGGCCCCACAAGGCTCCCAAGAAGCCTCCAGGATGCCACCAAGAGGCTCCCAAGAGACCCCCAAGAGGCCCCCCACATGCACCCAAGACGCTCCAAGAAACCTCGGCGACAATGCCCAAATCACTGATTTTACAACAGGTTTTGGCTACATTTTGGCCTCCTGGGGGGGGGGCGCTGCTTCATATGAACCAAAAGCGCCTGGGGGAGCCCAAGATGACCTCCAAGATGGCTGAAACTATCCCCAAATGCCTCAAGATGGCTCCCACGGTGCTCCAAAAGGCCCCAAGACCGCTCAAAGAAGGCTCCAAGTGGCCAAACAACTCCCCCAGGAGGCCCCGAAGACGCCCAAATCCTTCCAAAACCTTAGGACAATCTATGTTTTTGGACTTCTCGCCGAAGCCTCAAGAGGCGCCCAGGGAGCCCCAGGAGTCCCCAACAGGCGCCCAAGAGGCCTCCAAGAGGCCCCCAAGACCCCCAAGAAACTCTCCGAGGCACCCAAAACGCTCTAAGAGGCGTCCGGGACCGCCAAGAGGCCCCCAAGACGCTCCAAGAGGCCTCCACTGGGGGACCCTTCCTCTATGTGATGCCCACATCCCTGATTGAGGCACTTTCTCTGGGCATAGGTTCTGGATGGGCTGGTGGGGCTACTTTTTTGCTCGCGATCCGATCGGAACCCAGGGAAGTCAGGCGAGGTGCCTCCTTCGGTGTATGGGAAGCCCCCCGTGGCCTTCTGGAAGTGCCCCTCCGGGGTAAGGCCGATCAGCTCTTCGTCGACCTTCTCCTTTCTAGCCAGGCGCACGAAGCGATCTGGGAAGCAGGTGTCTGGGTCTAGCTGGTGTGCGCGGCGAGCGGCAGCCATGGCGAGGGCTGGCTGATCAGCTGCTGTGTTCGACCCTGCGGCGAGCGCTACCGCCTGTCCGCGCATGAGTGTGCCGCCCCAGATGTCGCGCGTCGCAGTGGACAGCTTGGTCTTGCCTGTGCCAGGAGGGCCGTAGACGACAGTGACGTGGTGCCTCACGCTGGCCTGGAACGCCCGCCTGGCGTCTGCATTGAGGCCGTGGCGGTCTGCGCCTTGTTCCAGGGTCTCTTGCGAGGGCGTCGTCCTCGCCCTCTGGAAAGCCTGCCCTACTGTGGAGCCTACTTCCTCGTCTGAGAAATCGGGGACGTCCAGGGGCTGCAGGGGCACGTGCCGGATCATGCCAGCAGCCTGAAGGGCTTGGATGTCGGCGTCCAGAACAGGGGGCTCAAGCGTGGCAGAGGCTCCCGCCCGTAGGTACTGCCCGACCCTGCCAGTTCTGGCGGCGTCGTTGGCTCCAGCCTTGACCTCCTTGGGGGCGGTGCGGAAGGTGAGCAGGTAGGTGATGCTGGGCCGGGGTAGCCCGAAGATGTCACCAGGATGCTGGTTCAGGAAGTAGATATCGTTGAGGGCGCTCGACTGCCTCCAGTACTGCCCTTCCGAAGGGGCTCTGTCCACTCTGTACCAGGGTTCTCCTTCTTAGTCTGGCCGGGGCGCCTTGGTGGCGTCGCCGTGGGACGGGCCTTGCCTGCTGTGGTTGTACGACACTGTGCACCTGCTCGATGGATACTTGGTGCCGTGGGGGAGCCTGAGGGCATCGCACTCCCGCGGCGCTACATTCCCCCCCAGGACTGGCGGCCACCAAGGCGTCACCTCTGCCACCTGATCGACCATGAGGCCCTGCACCGAGACCAGCAGGCTTTTGGCGTCCTGCGCGCTCCCCTCGCCCTTCATGCTGATGCGAAACTTGGGCGACCATTCCAGGAGGAGGAGGAGGAGCTCCTTGTCCTCGCCTGTCCACAGACTGTTGCGTAGGGCGAAACGGTCCAGGTCACTGCAACTGCTGCGGACGTGTAGCTTGGTGATTCGGACCCCCAGGGCGACGTTGCCTTTCCTCGCAAGCTCCGCTCTAGCCTTCGGGGTGCCATCATTCGGCGTCTCCAGGGCGGCGCGTCCCTCGATCCAGGCAATGCGCTTCAGCGTGAGGCCTCGGTCCCGCAAAATGTAGGGCCACTGGGATGGGAGAGACACAGCGTCGAACAACTCTCCAAGCGGGACGGTGGGGTGCACACGGGCTTGGCTCAGGCCACTGGGGAGCGAGAACATGTCCACGACTTCGATCGCTGCGGTGAAGGCCGGAGACTCAAGCACGGCTCTACTGCCAGGGTCGGGTCCAGGGGGGCTGTCGCCGTCGTCGGCTAGCCTGACTTTGCGAGTTTGCTGCTGCGGCTGGGCCCAGGCAGCTGGGGGGGCGTTGCTCCCCGCTGCTGGAAGCGGTGTCGCCGTCTGACCTGGGTCCGGGCTGCGGAAGCATGGTGACCACGGGCGAGGTGGACTTTGCCAGGGCGGCGGTCCGCACATCCTCGTCAGACTTCCGAAGCCTCCACTCGTCCGCTTCAGCGCTGCTGATGTGGGCTGGTCGAACCTGCGTCGGGTCGAACATCGTGCCGCCAGGACAGGTGTACTCCACGGGATCACCCGCGAGCGGGTAACTGGTAGGCACGTGGAGGCAATTTTTTGGGATCAGCCCAGAAAGCAGCCGAGTACCGTTGACATCGATGGGCTAAGCCGGCGCCCATCCTGCCCAGGCCTTCTTCTCGACGTAGCACTTGTGATCACCGTCCCAAGTCGTGCCCCAGGTCATGGTCCACAGATTGCCAGGGGATGTAAAGGTGCTGGGGTTTGGCCACCAGTGCCCGTACTGTCTCGATCCCTGCCAGAAGTGTCCTGCGTCGAGTAGGTGGTCAATGCCATCGCACGCTTTCTGACACAGCCCGCAGGACCACCCCCGCCTTCCGCCGAAGTACGCCCACCGCATCCAGGGACAGTATCTCGCCAGGAAGACACGCACTCCGTTCCTATGCGGGGGCCCGTCCTCCGAGCAGGGGAGGCATGACGCCCACCTTCTGAGGGGCCCACTGTGGTTCGGCATACCAGGAAACCAGGAAGCAGCTGAAGGCTGCACTCTCTGCGAAGAGACCACTGCGACCTTAGCGAACGGGGGCGGCTGGTGGGGATACGCGAAGCGTCTATAGAATTATCGAAGTGGCCGGCGGGCAAAGAGAAGGGGGAGGGAAGGCCGAGAGGAAAAAGATACGCTCAGACGTCGAAGAGTTCGACGATGAGCAGCCGGGGGGGGCAGCAGCAGCCAGGCGCGCAGGGCCAGAGCGCGGAGGGCGGCCGTGGCGAACAACGGTGGCAAGGGTGGCGGGAGGGCGGCTGCCAGCAGCTGGAGCTGGCGGGCGGGCGCAGTGGGACACCACGAACGGCAGAGGTACCGCGGCGCGCCGAGTAGGCACAGCACTGAGCCGTGCGGAAGCGGGAACGGTGGCAGAGGCAGTGACAGGAGTATTACACACATGTGGCTGAGTTCACGTGTGGAACCTGCGGAGGCCTCTCGCTAGACACGACATGTCGGGGGTCGGTGTGCATTGCCACACGAGGGCCGGGTGCTGGAACGACGTGCGGCCACGTGTGCATCCAGCTCTCGCCCAGAGCTCCCCTGCACGTGCGTGGGAGGGCTCGGAGGCTGCCGATAAGGCCTTTTAGAAGGCGAGAGCTCTCCCACGAGGGCCCCGTTACCCTCTTCGAGGGCGGCCCTCCTCGCGCCGACCCCTCTGGGGCGCGCGGCCGCTGCCGCCTTCGAGTGCTCCTCCGTCAGCTCCGCCAGCCCCACCTCGTACAGGGAGCGCTGGTGGTCCAGCTGCGACCTCGACGCAGCACGCCGCCGCTGTCGGCCCGCGTCGCGACGGCCTGCGCGCTGGCTCCTGGCGCCGCGCGGATCGTCCAGCCCTGGGCGACCGCGGCCATCCCGGCGGCGCAGATCATTTCATATCGGCCGACTCGTGGGCCACCGCCCGCGTTCAACCTGGCATGCCCGCGTCGGTCCCGCCGCCGCGCCGACGCTACACGAGCCTGCCGTGCTCGAGGTCAAGCTGGGGACGGGCTGGAGGGGGACATCCCAAGCACTCCCGAGGCCTTCTCGGGGGACAGTTCTGAGCACTCCAGTTGAGAGGGCCAGCGTACTCATCGTCCCGCCCACCCAGAGAACTGGCGCTCGTCGTCGTCGTCGTCGTCGTCGTCGTCCGTTTGGGCCTCGAAGCGTGGAACCTGGAGGGGAAGGCGTCCGAGCTGGTTCGCCTCCAGGACGTCTAACATGGCCCGCAGGAGAGCCCCAAATGGCCGCAGTATGTCTCCAAGACGGCCTACGATGCACTGACAATGACCCAATACAGCCCAAGACGGCCGAAAAGCCCCCAAGAGGCCTCCGAGAGAGCCTCCAGGGGAAGCCAGAATGGAGATCTTTCCTCCTCCTCTTCTTCTTCCTTCCTCTTTCTCCCCGACATGTTTCCCGAAACGTTTTCACAACGGCTGGGGGAATCCTTGATCCGCTAGATTGGCCGAGCTCTGACCACGACGTTCGGCCACATAGGCACTTCCAAAATGCAGGGGGCGGCGGTGATTCGCCGTAAGCGTCTTCGATTCTGCCGCCCCCTTTGGCTTGCGACGATGGTGCTTAGCGCGCCAAGTTTTATACTTCGTTCAGACTCTTCCACAACATTCCCCATAAAATCTGGGCCCAACCCGCCACCACCGGAAAAAGCGCAGCCCGCGGGTTTCTCCGCTCGAAGTGGCTCCAAGGCGTCGCAGATTGGCCAAGATGGTCGCCAAGATGGTCGCAAGACGCATCCAAAACGGCCCATTTTGCTCTAACATGGCCCCAAGATCGCCCAAGAGGGCCCACGAGGATCCGAAGAGGCCCCCCAAAGATGGTCCAGGAGGTCTTCAAGAGAACCTCCAGGAAGGCCCCGAGAAGCCAAACTCGCTCATTTTCCGCAAGTCTTTGAGAATGGATTCCAGCGTTTGCGCGTCCTCGGGCTTCTGACAACCCTGGAAGGCCCGCGATGCCCCCTTCACAACCCTGGAAGCCCGCGAGGCCCTCAGACGGGCCAAGACTGGCCAAGAGGCTCCCAAGAGGCCCCTTCACAGGGCTCTCAGTATGTCCCCCCCCGAAGCCCTCGGGAACCCCCAAGAGACATCCTCGTCTCCTCCTCATCGTCCTTCTTCCCTTCCCTCTCCTCCTCTTCCTCTTCATCATCTTCATCCTCCGAGGTCTTAGGTCGGGCATGTCCCCCTACAGGCGGATTTCGGACGAAAAACAAAACATACCAACAAATGCTCAATTACGCTACCGAGGAACCCCACATACTGATTTTGTGTCTTGTGTGAACCGCGCTACCACTACCACCGCCGTCACGCTCTCAGGTGCCCCCTGTGGTCGTTGAAAGGAGGGGGAGGACGTGTGGGGGGAGAGGAGGGGTTGAGGAGTCATCTGTGACGGTCATATCCGGCATCGCCTGGCACTTGGATACGAGAGTAATACGCAATCCCGCACTAGAGGCTATGCCTGGACGACCCTGGCACGCATAGGGAGACCACCCCCTGCGCACCCCCTCTGGTGTCGAGAAAATGCACGCCTGCAATGCCTGGACGACCCTGGCACGCATAGGGAGACCACCCCCCGCGCACCCCCTCTGGTGTCGAGAAACTGCCACGCCTGCTATGCCTGGACGACCCTGGCGCGCATAGGGAGACCACCCCCTGCGCACCCCCTCTGGTGTCGAGAAAATGTCACGCCTGCAATGCTTGGACGACCCTGGCACTCATAGTGAGACCACCCCCTGCGCACCCCCTCTGGTGTCGAGAAATGCCACGCCTGCAATGCCTGGACGACCCTGGCACGCATAGAGAGACCACCCCCTGCGCACCCCCTCTGGTGTCGAGAAAATGCCACGCCTGCTATGCCTGGACGACCCTGGCACGCATGCGCATAGAAAATGCCACGCCTGCTATGCCTGGACGACCCTGGCACGCATAGGGAGACCACCCCCTGCGCACCCCCTCTGGTGTCGAGAAAATGCCACGCCTGCAATGCCTGGACGACCCTGGCACGCATAGGGAGACCACCCCCTGCGCACCCCCTCTGGTGTCGAGAAATGCCACGCCTGCTATGCCTGGACGACCCTGGCGCGCATAGGGAGACCACCCCCTGCGCACCCCCTCTGGTGTCGAGAAAATGCCACGCCTGCTATGCCTGGACGACCCTGGCGCGCATAGGGAGACCACCCCCTGCGCACCCCCTCTGGTGTCGAGAAAATGCCACGCCTGCTATGCCTGGACGACCCTGGCGCGCATAGGGAGACCACCCCCTGCGCACCCCCTCTGGTGTCGAGAAAATGCCACGCCTGGACGACCCTGGCGCGCATAGGGAGACCACCCCCTGCGCACCCCCTCTGGTGTCGAGAAATGCCACGCCTGCTATGCCTGGACGACCCTGGCGCGCATAGGGAGACCACCCCCTGCGCACCCCCTCTGGTGTCGAGAAAATGCCACGCCTGCTATGCCTGGACGACCCTGGCGCGCATAGGGAGACCACCCCCTGCGCACCCCCTCTGGTGTCGAGAAAATGCCACGCCTGCTATGCCTGGACGACCCTGGCGCGCATAGGGAGACCACCCCCTGCGCACCCCCTCTGGTGTCGAGAAAATGCCACGCCTGCTATGCCTGGACGACCCTGGCGCGCATAGGGAGACCACCCCCTGCGCACCCCCTCTGGTGTCGAGAAATGCCACGCCTGCTATGCCTGGACGACCCTGGCATACGATGGGGGGAGACCACCCCCTGCGCACCCCCTCTGGTGTCGAGAAAATGCCACGCCTGCTATGCCTGGACGACCCTGGCGCGCATAGGGAGACCACCCCCTGCGCACCCCCTCTGGTGTCGAGAAAATGCCACGCCTGCTATGCCTGGACGACCCTGGCACGCATAGGGAGACCACCCCCTGCGCACCCCCTCTGGTGTCGAGAAAATGCCACGCCTGCTATGCCTGGACGACCCTGGCGCGCATAGGGAGACCACCCCCTGCGCACCCCCTCTGGTGTCGAGAAAATGCCACGCCTGCTATGCCTGGACGACCCTGGCGCGCATAGGGAGACCACCCCCTGCGCACCCCCTCTGGTGTCGAGAAAATGCCACGCCTGCTATGCCTGGACGACCCTGGCGCGCATAAGGAGACCACGCCCTGCGCACCCCCTCGGGTGTCGAGAAACTGCCACGCCTGCTATGCCTGGACGACCCTGGTGTGGGGTGCTGCGCTGTGCTGTGCTGTAGGGAGACCACCCCCTGCGCACCCCCTCTGGTGTCGAGAAAATGCCACGCCTGCTATGCCTGCTACCCCCTCTTGCCGTGTATGTGTATGATGCGTGTGCGGCCATATCGGGACATATCTCACGTGTTGCCCAGTATGTCGTGCAGACGTCTTGGGTGTATGATGCAGTGAACATGCGTCTTGTATGTGCGAATGTGTGCATGCGTGCGGCTGTGTGCGAGTGTGTGGGTGAGGAGGCGGGAGGTGTGAGACGCGGGTGCGGCGCGGCAAGGAAGAAAACCAGAACCCCACGAAACATGTGGGGAAACATGGTCAAACATAGTCAACACATCGTCTCCCGACAATTTCCCTACCTAGGCTCTGCCTAGAAAAGTTCTTACTCTCTGGGCTTAAAGGGGCCGGGCAGTGGAAAGCGCCCCGGGCGGTTTCCCCAGTATCCGCCCCGCGGTTCCCTCAGTTACGTCCCCTTAGCTTAGCGTTGCTTATCTCATCTTAGCTTAGCTTATTTCATCTTAGCTCAGCTTAGCTTAGCGTCATCTTAGCTCAGGTTTATCTTAGCTCAACTTACCTTCATCTTAGCATCGCTGAACTTTAGCATAGCATAGCAGAGCACATCATAACATAACATAGCGTAGCATAGCATAGCGCAGCATAACATGCCATAGCATAGCGTAGCATAGCACAGCGCAGCATGACATAGCATAGCATAGCTTAGCTTAGCATAGCACAGCATAGCGCAGCATAGCATAGCATAGCATAGCATAGCATAGCATAGCATAGCGCAGCATAGCATGGCATGGCATGGCATGGCATAGCATAGCATCTAATGCTGCTTTCCTTGGGGCTCCAACTTCTAGGTAGGGTCGCACAGGGGTAATTTTTGAATATTTTTGAATATTCCTCCTGTAGAGGGACAGGCTCGATTTAACCTGAGTGTCCCCCGACTGGTGTGCCAAACGGTTTGGGGAACACGCAGTCCACTGGCATGCCTTCGTTCGACATGTCATCGCACAGATATTCCAAATAGCATTGGGTCGGGCATGTCCCCCATACAGGCGGTTTTTGGTCGACCAAAAAGTCTCCCCAACATGGTCAAACATGGTCAAACAAATCGTCCCCGACTTTTTTTGACTACTCTTGCACATTCCTCCTGTAGAGGAACCTGCCCGACTTAACAAGGGCACCCAACTTCGCGCTTCGCGCTGCGCGAAGCGCCAAGTGCGAATAACTTCGCGCTCTCGCGGCGCCTCCCAGGGGAGAGGAGGAGGAGGAGTAGGAGGAATCGGAGCCGAACCGCGAAGCGCGAATAACTTCGCGCCCTCGAGGGTGCCCTTGCTTCAAGACAGCAGGGAGTGGCGGCGACTCGCCGCAGGCGCCTTCGATCCGCCGCCCTCCCTGGCCTGCCGCAGGGGCGCGCTGGGCGTGCCGGGGCCTGACAGCGCTGCTCGGCCCTTCCAACGCAAGTTCCCGATGGTCTCGGGCCCAGCCCGGCGGTCACCCCGAGCGATCATGTCTCATGGGGTTCTGAGCTCCACTGTGGCG